GATCTAGAAGTAAGTGTTTAATATGAGATATAAGGCACTGAAGATCACAGATGTTCTCAGAATGTTCTCAGAATTGGATTGCTTCTCTGTACACCTTCAGCTTTTCTAAACACATTCTCAAGCTCAAATAGGGCCATTGGCTTCCCTTTTCTTTTTGGGAGGCTATACACATAAGATGACTATGGACCACTGCCTTAATTGCCAGCCAGACAGCTATCCAAAGTAGTATTTTCCCTAAAATGAATGGGTAAGGGACTGGGACTATGGTACTCCTGGCACCATGATATCTACAACCAACTTCAAACTTCCTTTAACTCATACATACATGTTATTGTGAGGGAAGGGTTTAGTTCTACTTTTTGCATAGTTTAACATATCATACGACATAAATGCAGAAAGGTTTCTACTTACCTTCAGGAATACTACTGTCCAACAAAATAGGATTCCCAGAAGACTGCAAAACATTTCCTGCCTCATCAAAAGTAACAGTTAAGAAGCCAAGGTATTTTCCAAAAGCATATGCTTGAACAACTGGCACAGAACGACCATCATCTGACTTTACAATGAATGGATATTCCCCAACTGGGACATCATTGGAGGGTGGAGGGCCTGCATAAAAATACATAATTTATTTATTTAAAAAAAAAAAAAAATGTAAAACAGAAGCAATATTATTTGTCTGGCATGGTTTAAAAGGGAAAGAGCCATAAGTTAACAAAATAAATACAGTACCATTGGTAAAGCAGATCAAATGCAATAGGTTTTCAGTTGAATAGTTATTTTGAGTGGATTGAAAGCAAGCATACATTGAGAAGAAACATTTTCCTTTGATTTAACCCATGCCTTAATTTAAATGAGGTTAATAAGCAAATTCCATCTAGGCACGAATGTTAGCAGGTGTACTCATACAAAATAATTTGTTCACTTAACCAGGAATTTTTGACCCCTTGGCATGTTAAATGCAAATTTGAGAACAAAATGGCTGATGTAGAAAAGATCTCCAACTCAAATATTTTTCCCCTTTGGGACTTGATCTATTAAGCTTTCCAACTGATTCAACACTGTTTGAAAATCCATCCAAATGATTTATCTACAGAAGTCATCACCATTAAAGCCTATGGGAATGTTTAGAGATAAATCACTTGGAAAGTTTTCTAACAATATTTCAAAAAAAATAACTATATATATATATATATATATATAAACCTGTGAATGACTACAAAAATATAAAAAGCTGACTATTAATCTTGGGCTGCAACACACAAATCACTCAGACTTATAAAGTTAGAAAGAAGGACATGAAGTTAACCCTTAAAGCAAGCTGGCATTTTTTGTTGTACTGGTGACACCTTAAGAACTGGTAAGCCTTTCCAGTAGTTGAGTGACATTACACAAAATATTAAAAGCACAATCCGCCATCAGGTATTCCCAGATCCATCTCCATAGAAAAGTTCATTAAATAGCAATTTAGTGTATAATGAGAACGCTGGCATATATTTAATGATAAATATGATGGTTTCATTTTAATTTTTGAAAATAATCTGTAAATGACCTGTTCACTGTTCAATTTTGCCACAATTCCTTCTGCATTAAACATTCTGCTGTGGATTTATTATCTGTATATTTTATACTTAATGTGGAAACATGTGACTTGTTCTAGTGCCTCTTTGAGATCTTTTATAAAGAAATTAAAATGAATTTAAACAAGGACCTTGAAATACCCCTTTTGTTCAATTCAGTAGTAATAGTAATCATTAATATTTTGTCTTTCACCTAAGATCCAATTTACTAGCATGAATCATGGAAAGTTGCATAAATATGCGGCTCAAGATTATTCAATTTCCTGTTGTAAAGCCTTCAGAGTAGCAACGATACACGCCAGACCATCCCTATGTACATCAATGGTAAACAGACAACTCACTATTTCTCCTTTACCAACAGCGAGATTACACATGAGTAAGCAGTAGGCAATATAGAAGCTGGTAAAAGTAGAGACAGGTTTAAAACTTTGTAGTTAACCAATTACTACTTGATAAAAAAAAGTACAGGTACTATCGCCAGTAGTGGCTGGCTAGCAATAGATAGTGGCAGGTATAAAGATATAACAGCTCTATGCATTCTTAGGACAGCTGTCAATATTTTGGTAGAAAATCCAGTTTCCATACATAAATTGCAACCAGACAAAATGTTTACATACACTGGCTAACACCACGAACCGTATACGAAGTAGGTGCAATCCATGTTTGAGTAAAACATACCTTTTATTGAGATGGTTTAAAAACAAAAAGACCAAAAAAAAGGAACATAGAGCAAAACCTAAGAAAGCATATCCCAGGAAAATAACTGAGCGAGTTTTGCGCAAGTAGTAGGCACAATATCCTAATAGCCTGATGTTTATAATCACATGCCGTAATGGTCAGTTAATTTGAGAAAAATGTTAGCCCCTGCCTTACCACAGGGAAAGAGCAAACAACATGCACCAAAACGGACATTATTAGTGGAACCTAATTTTACATATAGGCTCCTTATCCTTAGTTATCTACTAAATACCATCATTTTTATGTTTCTCTATTTTCTTAATTGTTTTTTCAACGTGTCCAGAATTCTTACATGGGCACTAAATAAAGCTTAACGCTATGAGAGAGCTCCTCACTCACAGTTTATAGAGCAGGTTTTCTAGACTAGGTTTTCTAGACAATATACCCACATACTCTTTCGAAGTGAATTCAAAATTAAAGTTCTTTTTTTTTTTTTAAATGGAACTAACTCTGAAAATAAATATATATAGATTTTAAAGTTAGAATTTTTTTTTTTTTTTATAGATTCCTGGCCCTCTATTGTAATAAAAAATTTTTATCTGTAATCCAGGTCAAACTGACACAGCAGCCTGTTGAGCTCAACTAATGCTCCTTGTAGAGGAACACTGAAATCAATGCATGAATATGAGAAAGACTAGCTCTATTCAGCATCATTATGCTGTGCATGATTTTGCCAAATGAAGATATTCAAAAAACACGAGGTCTTGAAGGAGGTATTGTTTGTCTGTCATCCGCTGAAGGCATATTTTTGGCTAAATCTACACATTTCCATTTCTCAGACACTGCACTATTTACACTGTCAGAGAAAAAAAAATGCATTTTATGTACCAAGACCACTACATTAGGATATAGTGGTTTTGATGCTTTGCGGGTCCTATTATATTTAGTCTGCAAGAAAATGAATGTAAATAGAGACATTGATTTCTGCAAATTAAACATGGTTGGCAGTGTCAGTTTTCATTATTGAGGTCCTTATATCTGAATCTATCTCTCTATCTCCAGTTTCAGGTTATGAGTTTCTGAAGTGCCAACAGGCATCATATGCCTAAAGAATCCTTCGCTAAGAATCCTTCTATGTACACAATAAAAAAATTTTTACAAAAATTTTTCTAGCAATGCTGTATTTATAGCAGTATATAATAAATAATGGAAGGAATCCAATGGATTTAATACAGAAAAATTCAGGTATACAAATTGACAATAGACGGCCGTTATTTTGGGAAAATCTGCCAGTGTTGATCTTGGCACTGACCTACCAACATTTGTGTAAAAATACACATGGCCCTTTGTTAAAATACTAACCTGTGTAAAGAAATGTATTGGAGTGTCCTCCCACAACAACATCTACTCCTTTCACTTTCTGAGCAATAAGTTTGTCGGTTTCAAAGCCAGAGTGCCCCAATGCAATAACTTTATTTACACCGAGAGTTAAAAGTTTGTCTACTTGAGGTTGCAAAGCTGTAATCTCCTCTTCAAATACCAGATATGGGCCTGAAATATTAAATAAGTTGGTTAGTAATACAAAATGATAATGTGCAGACACACCTTACAAGCATTTGATTATACATGTTACAATTTGGGGTGTTGCTGAAGTAAAAAAAAAAGAAACATTGAAAATGAATGTACATCTGAGAGAGTACATTCCTGAGGCGTACATTCTCTGAAAGGAAATATTATTGTATTGTTTTCAGCTTTTACGAATTTTCCATTTAGTCACCATATCACATTAAAAAAGAAAAAAGCACAAACATTTAAGAACCTTCACCACTGACATTTAATGATATTTTTAACCATATTTTTAATGTAAGTTTGACGTCTGACTTCAGTTTTCTAACAGTTGGTTAATGAAACCTAGGTAAAATGTCCTCAACATGCCTGTCCTATATCTTCTGGTTATAATATTTAATAAATTTAAGCTCATAAGATTATTTACTTTTATTTTGTGTAAAACATGTCGTTAATGTTCCGTTTGTTTCCAAACTATAATGTTGGACTCCATGCTCTGACTTTCTAAAGAGAATACGGTTATCTAGACATGTGCAATTTGTTTTGGTCCGAATGTGAATTTGAACGAATTTCGGGCAATTCGGACATTCAGGTACTTCCGAATTCCCGAATAAATGAATTGCCGAAGTCCTGACTTTCCGAAATTACCGAATTTCCAAAGTGTCGAATTGCCGAAGTGCCGCAGTTCCAAAGCACAGTATTGCCTAAGAACTAATATACTTACGCAGTGGTAGAATGAAGAATGTTACACTGTATACAATTTTAAATAAAAAGTATACAAACATAGCCAGGAATCAGCTGTAAGAATTTGCAACACTTACAACAAATCAAGTAACATACATTCATATAAAATGTAAGTTACTTAGCCAGTCAGTGTAATGACAGGAATGAATAAGTAGATAACTCCCTAATTCCCATGGTATCAGGGAGCTATCTACTAAATTTAGGTCTTTCAGCCAAATTTACTAATACTAAGTAAAAATTACTTAGTATTAGTAAATTATGCCCCTACTCGCTATACCGCGAGTAGGGGCATGTTTATTAAACAGTGAACAGTAGTGATGTCCCGAACTGTTCGCGAACAGTTCGCCACGAACGGTTCGCCATGGACTCATCATTGAGTAAACCTTGACCCTGTACCTCACAGTCAGCAGACTCATTCCAGCCAATCAGCAGCAGACCCTCCCTCCCAGACCCTCCCACCTCCTGGACAGCATCCATTGTGAAGCTGCATTCTTAGTGAGCTGTCCAGGAGGTGAGAGGGTCTGGGAGGGAGGGTCTTCTGCTGATTGGCTGGAATGTGTCTGCTGACTGTGAGGTACAGGGTCAAAGTTTACTCAATGATGAGTCCGCGGCGAACCGTTCGGGACATCACTAGTGAACAGCTGTTACTGTGTAATTTGACTCATTACTCTCTGATTGGTTACTTAATCCACCAATCAGAGAGTAATGAGTCAAATTACACAGCGTGGGAAAATTCCAAAGAACTTTCCCACGCTGTGTAAAATGACACAGAGCACACTGATTGGTGGATTTCAAGCTAACCGATCAGAGTGCTGTGACAGGTAAATGTAGAGACTTACCTGTCAGTCTCTTTATTTACCTGTCAGAGCACTTTGATTGGATGGCTTAAACCCACCAATCAGAGTGCTCTGAGCCTAACTGCAGGGCAGGGCAAGGCTTTATAAGCCTTCCCCTGCCGAGCAGAGCTCAGTCTGCACGGAGCCCTCCATGGGTGAAGATGGATTTTTTTTTTTTTTTTTAAAGTGCGTCGGTTATTATGGATTTTTTTATTTGGCCTTTTTTGGGGCTGAAAAAAAGAAGATTTTAGAAGAAAGAAAACATCAAATGGTAAGTTTTTTTATTTTTTTTCCCCAGGTACTTAGTTAAATGGTCCCCCCTCATTATTAGGGTGAGGGGGGGAAGTAGGGGTTAATTTTTTGGGGGGAGGAAGGTGACTACGGGTTTGGGGACCCCTAGTCACCCGGGGGAGTGGGGTTATTTTTTTTATTTAGGGCCCCCACCCACTGCTCAGGGGTGGGGGCTGGGGGGAGAACATTAGGTCCCCCCCTAATTAGTATTTTAGGGCCCCCACCCACCGCTCAGGGGTGGGAGCCAGGGGGAAGACATTAGGTCCCCCCCCTAATTAGTATTTTAGGGCCCCCACCCACCGCTCAGGGGTGGGAGCCAGGGGGAGGACATTAGGTCCTCCTAGTGTTCCTCAACCCTCCCTCTTTTTTTAGTGTTTTTCCCTTTTGGAACATTTACTCCTGTGAATTTTGCAGTGACTAGTCTCTCTTGAAACTCTAGAAGCACATCAATAGGAGAGTTAACCACAAGAGCAACTAGTGCATTTTCTTCTCAATAGTATGCGTAAGTGAATGAGGCAAGTATCTGCAAGTACACAAACATGTATTCATGACACTATATTGTTTTGATAATTGGCTCCCCTCCAAAGGTGCGTTTATTCCCCTTTTTTCCCCATGCCAATCTCGCCGTGCCTAAACCCACCTTGATGACTGAGATTAGTCTTGATGATCGTAGGAAAGCATTTGGAAATATTGAGCATGCATGGCAAAATGCTCCGCCAATCATCATCTCCTCGTTGAATCAAAGCATCTCTATGGGGAACGTTCAGCGCCTCCATGCAGAGTGTGGAGACACTGAATATCAGTGCTGCATGTTGTACAGCACTGACCCAGGAAGCTCCTCTAGTGGTCGCCACCAGAGGTGTCTGCCACTAGAGGTGTTATTAAGCTGCAATGTAAATCCTGCCTTTTCTCTGAAAAGGCAGTGCTTGTATTAAAAATCCTGCAGGGACAGGCTATAGACACCAGGAACACTACATTAAGCTGTAGTGGTTCATGTGACTATGGTGTTCCTTTAAGATCTGTTATTTTTGTCGTTGAAAATGAAATTGTGTTAGTTAAAAAAAAAACTGGCTCCCAACTTTTTTAGCAGGCTCCTAGATTCAAAGCAAATTTAGCAAGCCCTGATTTAACCCTATATATAAAAATGTCTATTTGTGAAAAATAAATGTAGATATCCACACCTTTTTATCCTGCAACTTTTATTTTATTATTCTAGCTCGCTGTCAGTCACTGTTATAAGCTCTGTGCGTTGCGTCTGACAGCACAGAGAGAGCATGCAGAGAAGAGGAGACATAAAATAAAAGTTTCTATTACTCATTTTCATTCATTGCCTTTGCCTTGTTTGAACTGGATTGTGATGCCACTCGCTTAATGTTTCATATACATTTGAAATAAAACAGAGCATCATATGGGGGGAAAAAAGGGGGAAAAAAACTAAAAAGGGTTAAAGGACCACTCTAGGCACCCAGACCACTTCAGCTTAATGAAGTGGTCTGGGTGCCAGGTCCAGCTAGGGTTAACCCATTTTTTCATAAACATAGCAGTTTCAGAGAAACTGCTATGTTTATGAATGGGTTAAGCCTTCCCCCTAATCCTCTAGTGGCTGTCTCATTGACAGCCACTAGAGGCGCTTGCGTGCTTCTCACTGTGAAAATCACAGTGAGAGCACGCCAGCGTCCATAGGAAAGCATTATGAATGCTTTCCTATGCGACCGGCTGAATGCGCGCGCAGCTCTTGCCGCGCGTGCGCATTCAGTCGACGGGGAGGAACGGAGGAGGAGAGAAGGAGGAGAGCTCCCCGCCCAGCGCTGGAAAAAGGTAAGATTTAACCCCTTTCCCCCTTCCAGAGCCGGGCGGGAGGGGGACCCTGAGGGTGGGGGCACCCTCAGGGCACTATAGTGCCAGGAAAACTAGTATGTTTTCCTGGCACTATAGTGGTCCTTTAACAAGTTATAGGTGATTTTCATGTTTTATTTATTGGTGTAAATGTAAAATGTGTCCAGTCTGAAAGTAAACCATATTTAAGTGCTTTGTGTTACAATAATGGATTAATGTAGTAAAACATGCAAAATAATAAAATAACAAGATTAAAAATAAAATATGATCACATTTTTAGATTGAGCTTTTACTGCATACCCCAGAGCTTGCAGTTTCTGCAGTAAACTGCCCTACGCCAGGACGTGGAAGACATTTCAGTCAACAAGGATACTGCTATTGATCTCAAAAGATAGTTCAGAGGGCAATTCTCAAAAACTCTGCCCAGCTGGTCATTGTGAGATTTGTATTTCAGCAATTTTTCAATAGTTTTATTTATGAAAAGAATAAAAGTGATGCGCAAGTTAATGGAAGCTAAGTCACATCTTCTCTCAGCTGAACTAAAAGTAGAAACATATAATTTTAGAAATAGAAAAAAAAATCCACATACACATCACACAGTCAAGAAGGAAAGTGATTTTTACAAATTGCTGCATTTATAAAGCACTATGAGTGAGAGTAGGTGCAGGATGTTCTATGCATCTTCAATGTTGTGATGATGCCTAAAGTGACCTGTTAAACGAGCCACCGAACACTTGTGAACTGTATCTTCTATGTAAATAATACATTGTTTAGAGGAAACTGATATGTTTTACATTATTATGTTTTTAGTGTGTTATTTGTCACAGAATATAATTTTGCTTCATATAGTAGTATAAAATAAAGGTTAATAAAGCCAAAAATGCATATTTAACATAGTTTGTTTTTATATTTACTTTTTTACACAATCTATTTAAAGGAAATTTAAAAGACCACTATAGGCACCCAGACGACTTCAGTTCAATTAAGTGGTCTGGATGCCAGGTCCATCTAGGGTTAACACTGCAGCTGTAAACATAGCAGTTTCAGGGAAACTGCTATGTTTAAATTAGGGTTTATCCAGCCTCTAGTGGCTGTCTCACTGACAGCTGCAAGAGGTGCTTCCGCGCTTCTTACTGTGAAAATCAAAGTGAGAAGACGCTGGACGTCCATAAGAAAGCATTGAGTAATGCTTTCCTATATGGACTGATTGAATGCGCACGCGGCTCTTGCAGCGTATGCGCATTCAGCGCTGACGTCGGCAGGAGGAGGAGAATTCCCCAGCGACGAGGGAGCCCGGCGCGGGAGAAAGGTAAGTGATTAAGCCCTTCAGCCCCCTTCAGCCCCCTTCAGCCCAGTAGGAGCGGGACCCTGAGGGTGGGGGGACCTAAAGACAAGTTTGTTTTCCTGGCACTTTAGTGGTCCTTTAAGCGAACCAGAACTATAAGGTGTTGCAATAAACATGAATACATTTTCAGCAGTGTGCATTAGCTTAATTAGATAAAAACCACGGATTTAAAAAAATTTACAGTAAAACTACAGGCAAGAGCATGTTTCAGCTTCTCCTTCTATTAACCGGTTTGGCCTGAAACAGTAAAGCATTGTCACATTCCCCATTTTTCCAACTTTTACCAATTGGTTTACATTGCTAGGAATTCAATTTAACAATAAATGTGGCAAAATTCTATGAAAAGAAGCAGATATGCACCTCACCTGCGATTTGGATATTTACAAAAAGAAAATCCAATTGGAATTCAGGGATTTGCACTGAATGACTGCTTCATATTCAGTATAATCCAACATCTGGTTCAAAAAGACTAACAGGGTAATTCACTAACCTCTAAATGGCCCCGTACTGAGTAGGCTACACTTGTGTAACTTTCACCTCAGATCCGGCCCCCTTCCTACTTATTTCCCTTCTTGGGGACA